CCCCTTAGTTCCAGTGAAAGGAACTCTGAATGCTTCAGCATACCAAGACATTTTGGACAATTCCATGCTCCCAACTTTGTGGGAACAGTTTGGAGCTGGCCCCTTCCTCTTCCAACATGACTGTGCACCAGTGCACAAAGCAAGGTCCATAAAGACATGGATGACAGAGTCTGGTGTGGATGAACTTGACTGGCCTGCACAGAGTCCTGACCTCAACCCGATAGAACACCTTTGGGATGAATTAGAGCGGAGACTGAGAGCCAGGCCTTCTCGTCCAACATCAGTGTGCGACCTCACAAATGCGCTTCTGGAAGAATGGTCAAAAATTCCCATAAACACACTCCTAAACCTTGTGGACAGCCTTCCCAGAAGAGTTGAAGCTGTTCTAGCTGCAAAGGGTGGACCGACGTCATATTGAACCCTATGGATTAGGAACGGGATGTCACTTAAGCTCATATGTGAGTCAAGGCAGGTGAGCAAATACTTTTGGCAATATAGTGTATCTTCATTGTCTAATAAGTCCATGACATAAAAGAAAACCCAACACCACCACTGATGGTCAAGGATTAGATTGGCTACAAATCATTTTAATCATTAAAACATGACAATTGAATAGGATTCTCCTCTTACTAAACATGAGTTTGATGAAAACTTTGTGACAATATTGCATTTCCTAATATTTGGAAGTATGATCCAACTGAGTAACAAGACTGTTACAGTTTCACCAGCAGATGTCACTAGTGAGTGATGAATGAAGCATCGAGTAATGAACTTTTTTCAACACTTTGCGTTGGAAAGCTTCATTGCTTCATGAGGCTTCACTTGCCCATCACTAGGTCCAGGTATCCAGTTACACAGGAAAGCTTCCTGCCGAAGAGCAAAGACAAAAACTCCTTAGACTCAGAGAAACAAAGCTAGGTTAGACTCAGCTAATCTCAGCTTGGCTAGAGTACCCAAAACTGACAAACATTCTGGCGTCGAGGTAGTAGCAGCCCACTGCTAAAGTACTCCTCCAGTAATGAACCAACGAGCAGCAGGTGTGCAGGGAGGCCCAACGAGGAACAGGGCACCACCTGGTGGTGGAGAGAGAAGGAACACACAAACAACCCACACAAACTGGATTCCTAACACTCACTCAGACATTTTGTGGCCTTGTAGGTGAAATAGACTAAGTAAAAACATTTTTCACTGGATAAATAGCATAACTAAATATATGACAAGAGAAATCTAAATTTTCCGACAACACCTGTCAACTAGGCTGTATACATTCCTCTCCCCTCTGCCTGATTATCAATTCCCTCCACCTGTTCCCAGCCAATATATACTACTTGCTGACCTGTTGACAGTGCTAGATTATTGAAAGCTTTTTGCCAGTAAATGTCCAGCGTTACTCCTGTCCCCCTGCCTGATTCTGACCTGATTCTCTCAGCCTGCCTGAACCCTATCAGATATGTCATTGTGAGCTTTTTGGATTTCAGAACTGTTTTCTGTGCCCTGACCCTGCTATTTGAATCTCTTCCTGTGGTTCGTTTCATGAAGCAGCACTTTTTTTTTTTTACAGATAATTAAATATTTATAGGTAGAGGATTCTACAACTCAGTTGACAGGGCTTTAGACCTATTTTTGGTTTGTTTAATATAAGCGAGATCATCTTATTTTTATTTAGTTATATTTACAGTACATGAAGAACTACTGAAATTATTTTCAAATTACACATATAAATATATTCATTAATTCCACGGGGGAAAAGGAATTACTTTAGGGTTAGGAAAAGGATTCACTTGATGATAACAACCTAATGAGCCTACTGGCACAATCTGAAGCCATTCTATGGGTCTGATAGCTGCTTATAGCTGCCACTTATTTACTGTGTAAAAAAGACGGAATTAACATGAGGAGGGACGAATGAGACATTGTGAAACCGAACACTCAGAGTTCCTGACTTCAGGCTAGATCATTTAGAGTTGTGGATTTGAATCTTAATTTGTAAAACTTGCTTCATAAAACGGACCCCTGATTATCTTTGGATCTCTGATCACCTGGCTCTGACACTGGACCTGTTCTTGGACCTCAAACGGTGGTTTTCCCATTTGATTAATCTGCCTCTCTTCGCCCTCACGATCAGACTCTGTTTCTGCCCCTCTAGCTCCAAGATCAGCATAGTCCTGGCAAGACTGTGAAAACTCTTAATGCCTGTGACATCATTGTCCCTTGTATCACATTCTTAGACTTAGACAACTTTTATTGAAATTTCATTTTGTAAAGCTTTCAGACAGTGTATGAGCAGCAGCTTAGCAGTGAAATGAACATTTCCAAGTGCAGCAGTGATGAAATGTAAACAGTGTGGGATAAAAAACATGGTTCAAAAGGCATTCATGTGGAAGTTGCAAAAACAAATATATATGGTGAAAAAAAGGTAGTAGAGTTAAGTTCTATTTGATATGATGTCATGTGGTGTGATTTGTGACTGGATTTGTAACTTCAGCAGTGGGGAAAAAGCTTTTACAGAATCTGCTGGACCTGCATCGAATGCTGCAAAGCCTCTTCCCTGAGGATGGGAAGAACAGTCCATGGTGGGGGTGGGGGTGGGGGGGTGAGGGGTCATTGATGATGTCATGGGTTCCGGACACGCATGGCTGGGATGAAATATCTTTAATGGAGGGAAGAGGAGCCCCCATGATCCTCTCTGCTATTCTCACCACTCTTCTCACTTTCTTGGAGAATTATTGGACCCTGCCTGCCCTTTTTCATTTCCATAAAAGGTTAGTGACTTTCTCCTTTTGGTCACACCAACACTCAGAAGTATCGCAGCCACTAACTCCATCTCTGCATTCCATAAGTTCCCGTTCCTGATCTGTCCCCGGGGTGTTTGAACATATTCCTTGAATAAATCTGCCTAAGTCTATCTTTGTGTCTGGCTAATCCCTGGGTCCATCTCTTAAAACATTACAACAGGTGGGTCAAACTTGAACATATTCATTGACGTCTTTATTCATACTGGGCCTCCAGAATGAGAGATAAGGGAAATGGTTTAACTGGAATTAGGGTGGTAGGAATATCTAGCAGTGTGGAACAAGCGAATCAATCAGGAACAGATGGCTGCAGGAACGTAGGTGGTAGACTGTTGTGGGGATCTTTGATCAGGCTAACAACAAAACAGGCACACATTTGAAGGCAACTGGACTTTTGCTCAGTTTTTTCTGAAAACGTTTCCACACCTATCTAGGAGTCTTTGTCAGTTCTGGTGGCTTTCTCCAGAGCTCTGGTGCAATCCTACAGAATTGACAAACGCCTCTTTGGAAAGTGTCCTTTGGCCCATGAGTCCAAGCACCCTGCAGAGATGGAAGTTCTGGTGCAGTTTTCCACCGACAGAATGAAAATCGCTCTGCTATGTTTTATTATTTGTTTTTCTGAATGATTTTATGATTTCTGTTGAACTTCTTTTTTTTAAGAAGCTGCTGAGTCTTTTTAAAATATCACTGTGAACTTGTCGACTGTTCAGAAAAACACCAAAGCTCCTCATTTGATTTGATTAAGTTTATTTCATTAAGGAAAGCACAATAAACAATGTTAAGTGTAGAAGAAAAAACAACTGTTGTTCTGAACATTTGTTTTCTTGCCACTGGCTGATTCGAAACCCTGATATCAAACATAAGGATTCACATCACACAAAGAATCTCTAACTGAAGAGCAAAGAAATATCACTGTATTGCTAAATATGTGATCATAGCTACTAGAGACAGAGTAAGAGGTTATAGGTAGAAACTTGTACTTTAAATATAATCCTTACTTCATTTATTTATTTGATCAAATTAAATCTTGGAATACACATTAAAATTATCTTTATGATTAAGTTTATTCTTAAGAGTGTTTTCAGAAAGGTAGAAGTGAAGATAAATATTGCAGAAGATATGAGTAAAATCAAATTGAATACATTTTGTTTTGCTGCTCTAAAAATTCCAAATCAATTCATGAATTGAGGTTGATTAATCTAGGCTTTTTAAAGAAGAATCCTCTGCCAAGAACAATAATGTGGATTCTGGTAATGCATCAGCAGAAAAGGAAAAGTAACTGAAAACATTACACGATTTTACAATGGATATTTCAAACATTTTACTTGGTAAAATTCAATGCCATGGGAATCATTGAATAATACATTGGTTTTCCTTCACTGAGCCTGATATAGCCCCAAATAAAGCTCCCAGTGCTGCCCCCACTGCTGCTCCCAATGGCCCCCCCAGGAAGCCAGCTACTGCCCCAATAGCAGCTCCGTGTCGAACGGCCCGGGTTAATGGGTTGTCTTTCTCTGCTCGTCTTCTTGCTTCCTCATCTCCCATACCTGGATTTTCTGACAGAAGCCTCTCAGTTTCTTGTTTTATTATTCTCTCTGCTTCTTCAAACATTTCATTGGTGAAATGTTGTCCCTTATTTTTCTGAACCATTGTGTTAATTTTTGATAGTAGCTCCTTCAATTGCTCTGGATTTCCATTCCTGTTGTTAAGGACATGGTATCCTCCCAGGCACTGATTGACAAACTTCTTCAGAGCTGGATTTACCTCTATTATCTCTTCTATGGGACTCTCTTCTGCTTCCAGATCATCTCCATGAGTGAACAAAGCCATTGTGAAACGTGAAGCTTGTTCTCCAAACATCCGCTGAATGATATTTACAGTTTCCTGTTCTTCTTTGGTGAATCTCCCTGGCTGGATCACGACCATGAATACATGAGGACCAGGAGAAGCTAATGACATGCATCTAGTAATCTCTCTTCTCACCTCCTGTTCAGTTTTACTGGTATCAAAAAGGCCTGGAGTATCAATTACAGCCAGAGTTTGAGCACCAAACTGTCCCAGTTCCTTCTGACACTCTGTTGTCAGTGAAGAAGATGACAGCTTCGACTTGAATACTTTTTTTCCTAAAAGAGTGTTTCCTGTTGCACTCTTCCCAACTCCAGTTTTTCCAACAAGTACAATCCGAAGATGTTGCTCCTCTTTTCCTGTTGGAATATTTATAAAAAAATTATTCATATAAGTTCACAAACTCTGAAATAATTTTTTCTTACAATTTCTAAAGAAATGGTAGATTACTTCATGTAATTTGATGCAAAAGAACTTACTAAATTAACCAAGGTACACTTTGTAGGCATAATGTTTGAGAGAGAAATCCACCAAAAAAGTCTAACACCAGCTCCCGTGGTTTCCCTGCATTTACTCTTTTTCCCACCTTTTTATTGTCATTACACTGTCGCAAGTACAGAGCAACGGCATGAACAAGTATTTAACCCAGTGGGCTGCCATTTTCTGGCACCCAGGAAGCAGTGTGTGATTAAGGGTCTTGCTCAGAGACCCAGAGTGGCAGTCTGTGGGAGTGGGGCTCGAACTCGGATTCCAAGCGCAATGCCCTAACTACTAGGCCGCCACCCCCAGCCATGACATGGTTCTGCTGGCACCCCTGCAATTCCTCCAACTTAAGACCCAGACTATTTTTAAGATAAGCCTTAATTTAAGCCTCTGTCATTTTGATCATCAGGCATGTCTGACTTTCTTTAAAAGTTAATGGTAGTCACATAATTTGGAATGTGCTGCATAGCACACCCAACTTTGAGCTTGTAAGCAGCTGATTAACATTCAGTATGTCCAGATGGCAGATGCTAGGGCTAGAAATGGGACCTGTGGCACAACTGACAGACCATTAGAGAAACTGGCTGGGAGGCAGTCCCTCCATCCAAGAATGAGGCAGTTCCTCCAAATGTGCATCAAATGCATCTACCTACACTTGTTGAAACTCTTAATGCACGTCTGACTTCAAAGCGCACAAGTTTTTAAGTTTAGGAATTGGGCAGGTGTTTGACTTGGCTGCTGGAGGATATTTGATTTGCCCCTCCAGCTAATTTTTAGAGAGTAGAGGGGCAGTGGGAGAGCCTGAAAGTTTTCATAAGGGGACCTAACAGGGACTAATGTGCTCTGAAGAGTGGCCTGAAAGTGATAGTCATCAGAACAAGTTTAGGTCAGTCTACACTGATCACAATGTACCAAGTAGAAATAATAAACATGAAAAATTTTCATATTTTCTGAATAAATTATTGAAAATAGACTAGATTATCATGAAGCCCTTTCTAGTAAATCTTCACACACACTAATACGTCTATATTGTCTAAATCAGTTATGGTTTTACATAATATACAGATTGAAAGGGTTAAGCAGTAGTACTCTGTCTCTAATTTCATTGAAGTCTCCTAGATCACTGCAGACCAATACTTTTCCCTTCATCCCCATAAAGCACCATATGTTCTTCTGAATGTAGCAAGAGTTCTATTTTTCTTTTATGCAATGATAACATATCGATTTGAATAATTCATTTATTTCTGTTCTTATAATGTCAGCTGTTTAATATACTTACAACTGAAAAACATTGGGTCAATCCTCCTGAGAATATCATTACCCCGGCCCTCTGTTTTAGAAAGGAACTAATTGTCCCAGAAGTAGTGAACTATATCTGTTTGGGTGCAACAAATTTCCTAATAGGCTTGACCGATGATTGGCTAGCGGTGGCCACAGCCATCCTTTGTCTTCCTTCTAGATCTGCCCCTGTAGAGGGGCACAGTGTAAAGGCAGAAGCAGGACATTGGTAGAAGCATAATGTTTCCATGCATTCTGTCCAATTAACAGAAACACTAAGGCACTGATTGTGGTAGTACCCCTCCCCTAGGGGTAGATACCAGATGCTCAAACAGAGCCCAAAACAAAAAAACAACCTGAACAGGATCGGCAGAGGGGACTTTTAAAAGTGGCTGGTCCTTGGTAGGGCTGGGTATTGTTCAAAAAATTTCGGTTCCGGTACCAATACCGATACCTTCACTTCGATACCGGTTCCTGAACGATACTTTTTTCGATACCAGTTTTATAATATCAATTCGAAGAAAAGAAAATTACACAACATAAAAAAGTACAAATCTTGAGTTTTATTTTAAGCTTTGATTTTTCCATTTACATTTTTCCTCTTACATAAAAAAAATTCAGTGTCTAATATTCACTGTTACATTGTGAGGACCTTTTTACTTAGCAGTTTTCCTTTAGAAAAATTACCATGTCTGACAAACAAGCCCGTTGAATGGGATACAGCAAATATAGCTGCAAGGCAAATAAAGGATAGAGTAGCTCCGCCCAACGCGCGTCAGAGCCACTTTTGCACCGCGCAGCCAGAGCAGCAAAGCTTCTTCAGCCGCGCGTCAGAAGCTGGTACAAGCAGCAAAAAGGAAGCAGCAGACGTGATTTTGCTGCTCCTGCTGCGTCCGGTGTGAACGCAGCATGATTCACTCCGCTCTGGCTTTGCTCCGCCCACGGGCTGCTGAGAGGAGGATGGTGGCGCCGGCTGCGGTCCGCTCTTCTTGCAGTCAAACACCGAGCAACTTTCTGCTCTTAAATTGTTTCCGTGCTCGATGTATTGCATTGCGCACTATTGGCATCAGTCTTAATAAAGTGAAGGGGGGGCATTTTAAAGGGGTTCCACGACGCTCGCAACCAGTTCACAACAGATACACATGAACCCTTGCTGTAGGCGTGACCACCTGTGTATTTTTCCTGGATGACACAATCACGTTAAGTGTTACAGCCAATCACCGAAACTTGGTACTGAAAGACGAGGCATGTTTCGATACTCGGTAGAACCGAAGCATTTTGGTCGGTACCATAAAAGAACCGAAGTTCGGTACCCAGCCCTAGTCCTTGGTCATACCAAAGAGGTCAAGATTTGAAAGACACGTGGTGGCCATGCAGGACCCCAAAAGGAAACATTGGTTTGCTGGCTACGGACCGTGAGTAAGATTTGGAGTCTTTGAACCCTGGGGAGGCCGGGACCCCCCCAAGGGACCTCAGACAGGTACTTACAAAAGAGCTCAGGGGGAAAATACTTGAAACCCCGGAGTATGTGCAGTAAGTTAAGGCACTTCATTCTTGCAACCCTCAGTAACTGGAAGTAAGGTGGTTTGCTCTAGAACCCTTCAGGAGCAGGAACACAGAAAAAAACTAAAGTAGGGTCAAGAGGCAATGCCAACTTGGATACTGGGTGCTTGTAGCACCTAAATTGCATAAATATAAGACGGGTCCACTTGGACAACCATGTCAGGGAATTCAGCAACTGTGGTCTGAGGCGGCAGCCTAAGGCAAAAGCGGGCTTGGGTGTTATCAGAAAGCCAGGAACAGGAACTCTAAATTGTACAAGTGGCATGGAACACGCAGAATAATTGGCTTTCACCAAAAAAATCTGAATTGAGCGTTCAGGCCTGCAGTGTGAATGTAGCCTCAGAGGTGCAAAGCCGACTAGGGAGGTGTCAGTCTATTGCTTGGATGATCATTACCTTAATCCTGTGTCCCCTTTATCTTAATATTATCAACAATACTTGGAAATGGATGGCAAGGGTAGTTTATAAACATTGACATCAATTCCAAACAGTTAATACTCTTTGTGACGCCCTCTTAAACATATTCCTTCTACCTTGTTTAAATGGGCTTTTGTGTTAAAGGAATAGTACACCCAAAACATGATTAGCCTTCATTTTCTACTCACCCCCATGCTGACCAACACTCTGGAGTACTTTTTTGATATCTCAAATGCATCTGGAGATTTGGGAGGCTTCTTGCTGTCTGCTGACATTCAAATAATGGAGGTCTATGGCGCCCGAGGCAGAAAGGTCCATAAAAGTCCACAAAAAACGTGTCAATGTTCCTCAATACTGCTCGTCCAATGTATTCCAAGTGTCCTGAGTGGGTAGCATCCATAATTTACTCGAAACGAAGTCATTTAGAATGTTTTTAGAGCATAAACTGTAGTGTATAGGACCTAAACGCATGCGCATGCGAGTTCACGATTCTACGGAAACCGCGGCAGACCAAACAAGATGAAAGTGTGCATTCAGCTTGGCAAAGAACTCATGCTCTTCCTCAACAATGAAGTCCTCAGACATTTTTCTTTCGTTGTTTCTTTCTTTGCACAGGTAATTAGCACATTTCTTCTTCTACGCTTGCATTATCGGCAGAGCAGACGCTGAATGCGCACTTTCATCTGGTTTGGTCTGCCGCGGTTTCGGTAGACTCGTGAACGCGCTTTAAGGAAATCCTATACACTACTGTTTATGCTCTAAAAACATTCTAAATGACTTTGTTTCGAGTAAATTATGGACGCTACCCACTCAGGACACTTGGAATACATTGGACGAGCAGTATGGAGGAATATTGACACGTTTTTTGTGGACTTTTATGGACCTTTCTGCCTCGGGCGCCATAGACCTCCATTATTTGAATGTCAGCAGACAGCAAGAAGCCTCCCAGATCTCCAGATGCATTTGAGATATCAAAAAAGTACTCCAGAGTGTTGTTCAGCATGGGGGTGAGTAGAAAATGAAGGCTAATCATGTTTTGGGTGTACTATTCCTTTAAAACCTTCATTTAGATCAGTGGTTCTTAAACCTGCTCCTCAAGAATCACTTCCCTGCATGTTTTAAATGTCTCTCTGCTGCAGCACTCCTGCTTCTAATAACTGCATGACCTCTTTAGCAGCTTTCAAGTGCTGCAGAAACCTGTCAATCAAATGCTTATATAACTCAGGTGTGTAGCAGTAAGAAATCTAAAACATTCAGGGCAGTGGTACTTGAAGACCAGGACTGAGAACCATCCACCTAGATTATGTTCTGAAATCTATTTTGTTCCTTTATGCCTGATGTTTTGCTTCCTTCCTCTGTCATTAAGTACATAGTTTATTTGTTCTACGTGTGGTGCTTTACGGGGACAATAAAGGAATTTTCTATTTCTGTTTTCAGAAATAGAAAGTCAACTCATACCATCCACCTGTTCTCTGCTATGTTTCTGATCACTTCTTATCCTTCCTTTTTGAATTGTTAGCTGTTTTCAGTTCTTGTCAAATCAACTTTAGCCATATCACCACCTATAAATTTTATTTACAGTTATTTCTAAATGATTGATTTTACTGTGATGTTTCTGCCAGTTTGTCAGCGTCTGTTCCCAACTTTAAGCGCTACGTCTCCTGACAGCCTCCTAGTAACACCTCAACACATCAAGTGTGTGAATGATTGTTTGACTTGTTTCTTTGAATCCCTTTTTAAAAGAATTTGTTCATGTGTTTTGATTTATGGTGTGAAACTTTGATTAGCTGCATATTCCAGTTAAATGTCTTCACTAAATTGCCAACTGAGAAGTTCAGCTCTCAATTCCATTTATTCTTTGAGCATTTTGAAGTAAAATGAGGCAAAATATTGCAAAAAAAACTATTTTAAGATTGTTATTTATGTTCCAATGTTTTGACCCACTTTTAAAGTATGCAATAGTTGGGGAATGTAACCATGACGAGAAATTCAGTAACTCATGGAACCGGTTCTGGAAATCCCTACTTCTACCAGCCAAGGCATTGCATAGCAACATTTTCCCATCACTACAATGATTCATCTTTAAAACTTCAAAGGCATGAAGCTCTTACTGTTAGCCATGCCAGAAGTAAAGTACATATAAAATAAGCTCCGTCAGATGATAGGTAAAAACATCTGGTCTTTCATGATGCCTCTCAAGCAAAAAAGTTATTATGTAATTGATTCTGATAAGAGAAAAGTAGCCTAAGAATAAAATCTAAGACTCTTAAAATCAATTAGAAAAACAAATTACTCTTCAATGTCATAACAAAGCAACGCTGAAAAAAAATCTTTGTTTAGGATGCGGACAAATACTAAAGATACAGTATGAAATGTATAAAACATAATTTAGAAGTGCACTTATGGAAGAGTACTGAAATGATCTGTTAGATTTGGGCTTTTAAAAATTATTTTTATTAAGTCTCTGCTTCTGTTTATCATTCTGTGCCTCAGTTCCACGTTCTTCCTCAGTTGTAGTTAATGAGTTCATCAGCTCACCTGTTTAAACTTCTAGTAATGAAACTTTACGCTAGAAATACTCCTAACAGTTAATCCCCCATCAATTTTTTTTATCCATTTCTCATGTTGTCCAACTCCTTTATTTTTAAATTTGTTTGCATTATGCTGCTATCTGCCTGTATGTCTACATTTAGGTTCACTGCAACCTTCATACATTAGAAGCAGCTGATGCACATTAGGAATTACTGTAAATGATTAAAATGTTTACACACCGAAATAGAAATAAAAAAGAATTAGAAAATGAAAAAGTAACACAAAAAAATTTAACTGATAATAAAATCAAAGCTTTACTTACGGGCCATCTTTGTCTTTCCAAGTCCAAGGTGATAATGATCTCTGACAATTGAAGGATGAAAAGAATAACTCACTCACCTCCTTCTTAACAGGTCACATGTTTAGAGTGAGACAGTTTTTTTTATGATGACATAACATGTTAAAGCTCTGATTGATTGACTGACTGCATTCCTTTAACTTCCTGAGAATGCAGCCTTCATGGATTACTGTTTTGTACATGACTAGATATCTACAAAAGTCAATGAATTACATCTCTGTTTATATTATTTGACAATTAGTCCTTTTTCTCTGACTGTGACTAACTGGATGCGCACGCTTCGCGTGCATGCTCTGATTGGTCTGCCTGAATTGTTTCTGTAAAGTATGTTGAGATGCTGTGAATTGGTGGTTTATAAATAAACATGTTCAAACTGGCTAAAGAGCAAAAATAATTACTAAAGCTATAATACCAGTGCAAGATGCTCTTTCTGATTAAAATGATGGAATCAATAATATAATTTACACAGCTGCAATTGTCCCTTTAAAGACGTGAGGATGTTGAAGTGGCCTGGTATAAAAAAATGTTTGACACCGCGGACCTGAACCTAAATAAATTCTGCTTCAAACTAGAAGGAAGAGCTGATATCAAATATCCAAAAGGGATGTCTCTATGAACACTTGACCTTCTTTTGCCCAGCTGGAGGGAAAGGTCTTCTCTATCCTTCGTAGATTACAGTATACCATGACAAACTGTGGTGAAATTTGTAAGTACAGTTTAATATAATACAAATATGTGAATAGGTTTGACTTAAATGAATGAAAATACAGTAGATGATTTAAATAAGTCAAATTTGTCGTGGGTACATTTTGATTTATTGAAAGGTGTCATCTATTCCTTTGCAAATAGGTTTAGTAAGACAGATTCCAATATCCATGCAGTGGCTGAACTACAAATTTGAAATCTGACAATGTTACTGCTGCTGAAGCTCAGAAAAAAGCAAATTAGGATACAAAACAGTATCGAGAAGTTCGACATTCATTCTTGGTGCATCAACCATGACGTTGTTAGGCAGCAGAGCTTACACTTAGTGAGGGGAAGTGACAGTCGGAAAAGGTCCAATGAGGTTTGAAAAATGTCTTTGAGGACATCAGCCAGCTGATCTGCACACTCCTAGAACATCTGCCCAGGAATGTTATCGGGGCCTTGTGCCTTCCTCGGGTTGACTCTCCTTAGACTTTTACTCCCTGAAAAGAACAGATCCCAACAGCTGGAGTGCTGTTTAGTGCCTCAAACTTTCCAAAGAAGCTGTTTAGTCCAATTAGGAAGTCAGTGTCAGCTCCATCCAGCGGAGCTGGACGGTCGCTTTTGAGAGCCCTTGGACTGCTGGGAATTGAAGGGCTGGCCAGGAAGCGGCTTGTAGCCAACGCCATCAAGCGGGTAGAGAAGGCATCTCGCTGGATTTGGATGCAGCGCGAGGTGCGCTGGCAGAACCAAAGCACTGAGTGAATGAAGAACTGAATACAGAGTTGGATGGCATTCAGTGGCGGTGGGTCCAGGACACTGGATCTACCGTTGAGCCCCTCTGAGGTGTCATGGGCTTAAATCAACGAAACACCAGTGAAGGGGAATGCCCATTTGACAACCTTCTGAGCCTACCCAACTCCTATTCCAGTCACAGAGACCTAGTGGTGCCATGAGGGAAGGAGAGAGAGAGAGAGAGAGAGAGAGAGAGAGAGAGAGAGAGAGAGAGAGAGAGAGAGAGAGAGGCCACTGGACCACAGATGGTGCAGGGGCAAGTACCTGTAAAGGTGGGCCAGTTGCGATATCTCTTATCGTATTGTGCATAGATGAGAATGTGTGGGACTATTCACATTTTGAACAAAGCCAATAGTGTCTAAGATAGCGTTAAAGGCTGCTCTTAAGCTATCACCTTCAATGTCAGCAGTGATGTTAAAATCCCCCACTATGATGACTCTGTTAGTATCAGACAGGAACCCTAAAAACTCATCTAAAAATGTTGGAGTATGGACCTGGTGGAAGATAGAAAGTTACAAAGAGAAGAGGTATTGTGGTTTTGAAATTTAGATGATGAAAAATAAGGGTTAAATGTTCAAAAGAGTTGTAATTACTGATTACATCTGATTATTAATTTTCATTTCTGATTAATAAGCAAGTAGACCTATGCCTCCTTAGTGCCGAGTGTTTTCTGAACAGCCCCGGTGTTACACCTGTAATAGGTATAAGATGCATTAACCCGCAAAATGATTCCAGATTAAAGATTTTCATTAAGAAACCGTCACATTTCTACTGTATTCCATGCAATCATATCTTCCACCATGCTCTGACAATGAGTGAAGAGAAAAAGGAAACTTAAAAACTGATTATTTGTGCACACGTGGCCTGCAAGCATAGATGGACTGGGAATCCAGGGCTGTTGGCCAGCTTAATTAACTGTTTTCTTGTGACGGTGAGATAAATATCTTGTTATTTTGAGAAAACAATTAATTGTTTAACCATGATAACGAGATAGTTATGTCATTATCTGGAGGAGACAAGGAAAAAAAGTCGAGTATGACCTCTCTCCGCTTCTATAGTAAGGCGAGATATATCAATGTGATTATCAGAAATCAAGTCATTAACTAGCAGACTTTTAGAGGAAAGAGATCTTATGTTACTGCGATGGACTGGCGACCTGTCCAGGGTGTACAGTGTGTGTCAGATAATGAATGGATGGATCTTATGTTAAACGGACCACATTTAATCGTTTTAACTTTTTCCCCAATTGGAGTTATTTTAATTTTAATTAGATTATCATGATTTACTCCTTTGGGATTCTTTTCTAATTTATTTGATTTTGGTCCTGGGCAGGACACTGTCTGGATGAAGTAATGAGTGGGTAACAGTAGAGAAGCTGCAGAGGGGTGTGTTAAACTATGATTCTGGTTCCTGGTCTGCACCCTCGGCGGTCAGGGTTTTGGAGGACTAATAAATGTAGCCAGATTCCTAGAAAGAGGAGCTGCACCATCCAAATTGGGATGGATGCCGTCTCTCCGAATCAGACCAGGCTTTCCGCAAAAGGATTGCCAATTAATAATGTAGCCCATGTTGTTTTCAGGGCACCACCTAGACAACCAGCGGTTTAATGAAGACATGCGGCTAAACATGTCATCACTGGTCAGATCAGGGAGGGGACCAGAGAAAATGACTGAGTCTGATATTGTTTTGGCAAACTTACACACTAAAGCAACACAAATTTTAGTGACCTCCGATCGGTGTTACCGGGTTGTCATTACCGCCAGCGTGAATAACAATCTTAGTGTATTTAACCTTATCCTTAGCCACAATGATGTAACGACACAATAGGCCCCTAAGCAACATTATCTGGGTGGGCCCCATATGAAGTACAACACCCTTTTCCCCTACCCAACCCCCGTCACTAACACATTGTACGTAACGGTTATGGTTATAATCCTTGCTGTGGATTACCCATAATTCCAAGTTGTATTGTAAAAAATTAAATACTCAAATGCATTGTTGGAGTTATGATTTCTGTTGTTTTTATCATTTTATTCATTTATATGTTTTATATTGCTCTCAATCATTTGTTTTTCTATGTTACTCTCATCAGTGGAAATAGTGTATGCAGGTCATAAGACGGTCAAATGTTTTGCAAGAATGCTTTCCTGTTTTTCATTAGAGAGTGATTATTCACCTCTGCCTATCTTCCCTTTGCAAAGCACGGTCAGGAAAAATCTTGCACTGTCTTTTTTTTCATTTTTTATAGATTAAAGTTGGGGAAACTTAACAACCCTAACATCTTGGTGCCGTGACCCGGATCCTAACATACCAGCTCGCTGACGGAGGGAGGAAGACACGCTAAAAGCTACTGGTAGTCAGTGTCCCATCAGAGGGGGCCTGTTTCAAAGTCTTGGGAAGTGAATTCTTCGCCAGGCCAGCACCGTAGGTCGAACTCCTTCTGCCAACAACGGATTGACGGGATCCGATACCAGAACAAGGACAGGCAGACCAAGTAAGATTTTTGCCTTTTTTGAGTCAGAGTCCCATGCACTCTAGGGGGGGTACCCAAGCTTGGATGTAGCTTCAGTTGGTGGCAGGCAGCTGGGCAGGTTAAACCATCATATTTTGTTAACAGGCTGTTAACTTAGCATATAACTTATTTATAACTTATAACTAACTTATATAGCTTGTAACATATATCGTGAGATTACTTGTCACTTGCTTGTTGTCGGTTGGAGCAGCTCACTTGAGTTGGAGCTTTTTGGAGTGTAGTGGGTAAAGGTACCAAGGGACTCACAGGGTTGAGGTCCCTGATAAAAGTGCTCTCGGAGCAAGGCTGATAGAGCCATAAGGTAAAGGTACCAAGGGAAAAAAAGGGTTGAAGTCCCTGAGAGAAGCGCTTTTGGAACAAGGCTGTTGGGGCCATAAGGATACCTAGGTTGTGGGATTGAGTCCCCAGTGTGCGCAAAATAGAAATGTAAACCGCTTATAGATATAAATAATAATAACACAACACAGAGTAGTGAAATAACAAATAAAAAATAAAATAACATAAAAATAAATACATAAAATAAAATAAAAAATAGGCCTAAATAAAAATAAAAAATCTTTAAAAAATAATAATAATAAAAAGAAAATGGGGAAACCTCAAAGCGAAGTACCATTGCATGAATGAGATGAAAAATATATGGGTCGAATAAACCCAGACCACTTAAAATATCTTGATAAATGGAAAAAGAAATATGGAGTTAGTGGAAACTTAACAGTTGACCAGTGGCAGACAGTGGTGCAAAAACTAGAAATTAGTGTCAGCACTAAAAATGGGAAAAAGAAAAAAGAAAAAGAGGACCAGTTGAAACTTGTAAAAAGTTGGTTAGAGCAGGCCCAAAACCGGCGTGAGGCAATAAAAAACGCAAAACAAAATAGAGATAATAAGTCTCCGCCTCCCTATTCTGATCAACAAAATCAGGTGATGTTTGCCCGTCCAGAGAACAATGAAATTGTTCAACACTGTTTTGTGCTGTTGCTCCTACTCTGTGGGGACGAATAGGTAGCCAGTGCACAGTGAGAGATCAAAATGGTGGAGTTATTCCTTAT